AACAGGACAGGTGAAAAATCTGTTTATAATTATTTGAGTCTAGCACTGAACTTCATTTACATATAAATGTGAACTTGCAATCTCCATGGTCTTAATATACACTGAATTTTCTAGGAATGCAACTACTGTGTAAACCGAGAAAAGCTCATATCTTATTTTACTTGGAATTTTGCCAAGAGTTCCTCACCTAATTCATAAAATCAGGCTCGCAGTATGAGTAAATAGGAGTCCCTAAGTCTGCGTTCAGGGCCGTGGCATTCATAGTGATTCTGTGCATGGGGCAAGCCCCGAACTACTTCATTATTTCTTGCAGTTCAAACACGCAGGGTATTTGCTTATCAAAGTACATAGTATTTCATTATAAACAATTTCGCTTTCATTCTTCCCATATCTCATGATTAAGGCTTTATTTTGATTTAACTTGAAGTCAGATGTCCGGAGAGTAAAGGGGCATTGTTAATATTTGCTATCCCAGGGCGCCCGGGTGGCACAGTCAGTTGAGTGCCCGACTCTTGATATTGGCTCAGGTCATGATCCCCAAGGTTGTGGGATTGAGCCCTGCGTCAGGTACTGTGGAGCCCACTGGGGATTCTCTTTCTCTCTCCCTCTGCCTCTCTCCTCAGCTCATGCGTGCACACACTCTCTCTCTCTCTCAAATAAATAAAATGAAAAAAAAAATACTTGCTATCCCAAGGGGATGCTAGGTGGGACTGGGAAGAGAACCCCAACACCACAATGCCCCATAAAGCAGGAGAAGAGCTGGAGATCTTCTAAAGAATCCTCATTACACAAGCCTCTGACCTGCCTGTGTGTGCCTCTGCCCCTGTGTGTATGTCCTTTGTATTTTTTCACACCAATGGGATCATACTTAACATAGTATTATACAAATTGCTTATTTATTTAAAAATTTATCTTGGGGGGGCGCCTGGGTGTCTCAGTCGGTTAAGCGGCCGACTTCGGCTCAGGTCATGATCTCACGGTCCGTGAGTTCGAGCCCCACATCGGGCTCTGTGCTCACAGCTCGGAGCCTGGAGCCTGCTTCAGATTCTGTCTCCCACTCTCTCTGACCCTCCCCCGTTCATGCTCTGTCTCACTCTGTCTCAAAAATAAATAAAACATTAAAAAAATTAAAAAAAATTTATCTTGGATTTATTCATTTCAGCACAGACAGCTCTACTTAATTATTTTTAATTGGTTTAATTGGTTTGCATAGTATTTTGTGTTATGAAGGAGCCATAATTTATTTAGCCAGCTCCTATTGACAGACACTGCCTTGTGGCCATTTGTTTGCCGTTATAAATAATTCTATAATTATTATACAGATAAAGGTATCACTGTACATTCATGAATATATCTGTGACTTGATTATGAAAGTTCTGGGTTAGAGGGTAGGTAGGTGCATTTACATTTTTGATAGATATTGCCAAATTTCCTTCCAAAACAGGTTACACTGATTTGTAACAGTGGATGAAAATATTTGTTTCTCATACCTTCTCCAACACTTGGCCTCCAGAAACATTTCAATCTTCGGTAAGCTAATTGACTTTTTAAAGTGTCTCATGACTGTTTTAATTTGCAGTTTTAAAACTATGAGTCAGGTATGTACCTTTTCATGTGCTGTTGGACATCTGTATTTTTTCCAATGAATTTATCCAGTCTTGACCTGTTTTTCCTACTCATTTTTTTCTTATTCATTTCTAAAAGCCCTTTACGTATTAAGAAAATTAGTTTTGTCATCAGTGTTCCACTTTTTCCCCCTAATTTTGTTGTCTTTTGAATGTTTTTTACATACAGACAAAAGACTTACATTTTTAAAAAAAAATTTTTTTTTTAATGTTTTATTTATTTTTGAGACAGAGAGAGACAGAGCATGAATGGTGGAGGGTCAGAGAGAGAGGGAGACACAGAATCTGAAACAGGCTCCAGGCTCGGAGCTGTCAGCCCAGAGCCCAACGCGGGGCTCGAACTCACGGACCGCGAGATCGTGACCTGGCTGAAGTCGGACGCTTAACCAACTGCGCCACCCAGGCGCCCCAAAAGACTTACATTTTTAACAGTCATTTAGACCAGTTTTCTTTGTCTTTTATATTTGGAACAGATTTTAAAAGGCCTTCCCTGCTCTAAGATTCTAAAAAAGTATCCCTCATTTTTTTCTAGTTTATTATGGTTTCATTTTTTACATTGAAAGTGTAGATCAACTAGGAATTTATTTTGATATAAAAAGTGAGGTTATGTATCCAACAAGCCTAGTTGTCCCAACACCATTAACTGAACGATTTATCTTTTTCTCTACCTATTTGAAATATTACATTTATAAGTACCCATATCTATTTGGATCTATTTAAGGACTCTCTAGGCCATTATATGTGTCTATAACTTCAGTTTCATTACTAATAGTTTTAGGGGTGTTTGGCTGGCTTAGTCGGGAAAGCAAATGATTCATGATCTTGGGGTCGTGAGTTCAAGCCCCACACTGGGTGTAGAGATTACTTAGATAAATAAGTAAGTAAATAAATAAACTTAAAAAAACAAAAAATAGTTTTAAGTGCTGCTGCTTTATCATAATGTTTTTAAATAGGCTACAACTTTTGCTCATTTCCCTATTTCAGAATTTTTTAGCTATGCTTCAATGCTTATCTTTGCAGTATTTGGTATCATTTTGACATGTTCCCCCCAAAAATTCTGTTGCTATTTTGATTGGGATTCCTTTGAATTAGTAGATTACTTAGAAGAAACTGACAACTTTATGATATTGAGTCTTCCTCCCCAAGAACAAGTTATATCTCTCCATTTATTCTTTTATGTCCCTTGGTGGAGTTTAAAGTGAATTTTTCCTCAGCATTGGTTTTTTTGGTACTATTGTTAAAGGACTCTTCTATTATTTTTCTAGCTAGCTATTGTTTACTCACAAAAAAAGCTAATGATTATATTTATAATTAGAATACTTCCAATATTTCAACATCAAGCATACCATTATGCGAAATCAAGCAAAATAAAGACATGGGTAAACTTTTTAAAAATAAACTAAATTTTACAGAATTTTAATAAAGTAAAATAGCTCAGAATTGCACATGATCACAATGTGGTCCTAGATACAGTAAGAGCTCTTCATTTAACGTAACCCTGACTTTCCCCTACAGCCTTCATCTGACACTGCGTATCTTTCTTTCATAGCCCTATGTGGTCCTCCAGAGAAATATCCCTTCGGCAATGAACACCCAGGAAAACACACCTTTCTGGAAGGGCATGCAAAAGAGCTCACTATCTCTACTTTCTGCACAGAAGGCAGAAAATATTTCTTCCAAAGTAGCCATCCACTACCTGAGTGCTTTTAAAATTCTACAGCAGGTAATTTCATGTGTTTTTAGGAAAGATGAAAGTGAAAAGCAACACAAGTAGTAACAATGGGTCAGGGACTAGAATTATCTCCAAAATTAATTTTTTTTTTTTTTTTTTTTTTTTTTAAAGATCAAGCATGATTCTGACTTGGGTCTGGAGTACAAACAAGTCTTTGGTCAAAGGTTTACCTGAAAACCCAATCCACACCCAGACCCACTGCCTGGGTCAACTGAAACCTTCTGTGACATCAGGGGAGAGGACCTCATGGGACATCTGTGCTGTTAGTAAAGCCCCACTCTAATGGAGGCTCCCCACCCTCTATCCCTGTCCCAGTGCTGACACCTCCCCACCTGTGCTGGTTCAGCTGCCCCCAGAAGCTTGCCAAGATCTGCAAACAGGGCCTCCACTGCTTCTGTCTGAGTGAGCCCCAGGAGCCTCAGTGCCAACCTATCAGCACAGGTCTCAGAGCTGGGTTCTCTCTGTCTCGGAACCTACGTGACATCAAGCCACCTCCCCTAAAACTCAAACCTGAGCACAATCCCCAGCTTCCCCGACACAACCATAGCCCACCTGCACTTTTAAGAAGCCCTTGTCTCTGTTACTTCTTACTGTGTCCTGCCTACCAGCCTACAGGGACATCCTGCTACCCCCCGCTGGACCCCAAGGCTCTGGCCCAAGTGCTACCCTTGAGCCTCCTATTATCTGTCCGTATAGTATCTGACACTGCTTCCTGCCTGCCAGCTCCAACAAACTTCCAGGGTCTGTCCCCCCATGTTATCGCACTGCTGCTGGAGCAGGAAGAGGTGTCTGCCTAACTCAGCCCTTGTGGTCCAGACTTTTCTGCAACAGCAAACCCAACAATGTGACCGGCCACCACGAGAAGGCTCTGAGAGGAATAACAGCAACATGTATTGGGTGCTTGCCATGTGCTAAATAAGAGTCTAAACACTTTGTATGTATTAATGAATTAATCCTCACAATAACACCATTCCCACTGTAGAGATTTTTTTAAAAACATAGCCCAGAATCCTTATACATTTACCCAAGATTACACAGTTAGTCAATGGCAAGTTCAAATCCAGCAATGTGCCTCCAGGATCCAAACTCAATCTTTACACTGACGGCTAAAGAGGCTGGCCCTGGGCCTTCCAGAAAGGCAGCTACTTTGCATAGGCCAAGCACCTTCCAACCGAAACCTCTTACCCTTCCTGACTCAGTCTCTGCCTGGAAACCCGAAATACCAATGCCAATCTGCCAGGAGTCTGCTCCTTCTCAAGTCCTACCAAGCAGGGTTGCCCTTCTCGTGAGAGGGATAAATCCCAGACCTCTGAACCTCCTGGCTGTATCCACAGGAGATCCCGAAGTCACCATGGCCCTTCTTGTCATGGGCCTTTCTTGCCACCTGTCCCAGCCCACAGCCCGTTTGACACTCGCTCTCTGCTGGCTTTATCAGAGCAAATACAGCCATGATTCATCACAGCCGCAGCTCTGGGCCCCGGCAGTATCCTGCCTGACCGATTCCAGGGCCCCAGAACCTTACTAAAACAAAAATGGCCCGTCAAGTCCAAAAGCACCAAGCCACTCTTCCCCCCGCCCATGCAGGCACTCTCAGTCTCCCTCTGTCAGTCTCTGTCTCTCTCCCCCACCCCAGGTGCCCTCACCTGTTACAATGGGGTAGGACTGTGGCCCGGGCACGCTGCTCCCAATGTCGGTGGGAGTGGGGCTGGTCAGGTTGGCCTTCATGTCATCCAGCCCTCCAGCCAGCGAGGCCATAGCTGAGTACTCAGTGGTCTGAAAGAGGAAACAAAACAGAAATGTCTCAGCATCAAGACTCCAAAGCACCCCAGCCAAACGCCACCGCCACATTCTGGGCTTCAGTCACCTCGCTGGGCTAGCCCAGGCCAGCGCCAGGGCCCACGGGGGGCTCGCAAACCCCCCAGTGTTGAGAAGGCAGATTCAGCTCAATAGAGCAAGACAGGTATCCAGAGTCGACAGTTCTCCCCGGGTGAGGAGGGAGGTGGGCAGGAGTCAGGTGCAGCTTCACAAGAATTCAAACCTAGCTTCTTGTGGCCTGCAGGTTCCATTTGCCCAGCCCCAGTGGCCACCGACAATGTCTTGAATACAGGGAGGGAGATATCAGTAACTAAAAGCAAGGCGGAAATAACAGTCTTGTTGCCAAGAGGATAGAAAGAAAAGTTTCTGATTTCAATGCTCTTAAACCACAGATGCAGAATCACAGACACAAGGTTAAAAGGACTTTGAGACCTCATCTGTGCCAAACTCTCAATTCACAGATGACTAAACTGAGGCCCAAGGCAAAGAGGGCTTTGTCCATGGCCAATGGGGCAGAATCCCAGTCCAGGGAGTAGTCCACCAGAAACTCTCACTCAAAATCCAATACATCAAACCAAATGAACCACAGTTTGGTAAGTGTGTTGAATTCCGGCAGCATGTAAACTATGTGCTGCAAATTGTGAGGTGCACACGTCTGATTTACCAAGTCCACAGCAGCCATGGGCACTTGGCCCAGGGTCATGCTCCTTCCTTTAAGCCATTTCATGAAATCAGAGCTTGTGATGAGTCATTTCCTTGACATCCTAGCCACTGTCAAATGGCCTCCAGAAGATGCCAACCTGGGCCTTCCCACTCAGAGACAGACCAAATTATAAGTGTGAGTTCCAGGTCTCTTCCTTCCACGCAACCCCCAGGCCTAGTTTCAGGTACAGAAAATATCTGCAAACGCCCAAGCCAAAGAATTTGGTTGTGTATGCCAAACTCTTGGCATGAGCAATTCCCTCCAGGACGCTGGCATCGCAATGGAGGGCACATCCTTGTCTGTCCAGGGTTACATCCTTGGCAGACAGGGACAGGGAAGGAAGCCGCCTTCTCAAAGGAGACACAGGCACCTTGGGGAGGATGCTGAGGACTGAGCCACAGGGAAGGGAACCAGGGGAGCCACTGAGCAAGTGGCAGGCAGAGGGGACTCAGACTCGGATACATTCCTGGTGCTTCTCTCTGCATCTGAACTAGAAAGTACTTCCTGGGCAGCTCAGCCTGGGGTGGTGGGCAACAGTGAGTCCACGAGGGTGCAGGCCCAGGCACCCTGCCATGAGTCTCACCGAGGACAGCTCTGTCCAGAGCTCTGGGGCTCTCAATCATCTCCAGCGGAGGCTGATTCGGAAACATGCAGAGAAGAGCACAGGCTTCTACAGGAGAAGGACATGATAGGGACACGCCTCCCCGACTATATCACTATAAAGCTGTAGTAATTAAGACAGGGTAGGATTGGCACAGGGACAGATAAATAGATCAATGAAACAGAAGCGAGTCCAGAAACTGATCTGTGCATAGATGGAACCTTGATATATGAGAGAGGTGATGTACAAATCAGCAGGGAAGGATGGACTCTAATAAACAGTGCGGGGGTAACTGGTTATCCATTCAGAAACAAGGGGGAAAAAAGAAATTGGATCTTTACTTTATACCAGACACAAAAATCAATTCCAGGTGGATTGGAGACCTAAATGGGAAAGGCAAAGGCATCTAACGTGGTCAGCTCTAGGTCCAGTCAAAAATCCTTGGGAACAAACCTGCCCTTCAAGAGGAAACAAGTGGTTCTGGGATGCTCACCACAGGGTGGGTCCTAGTCATCCTGCCACCCTGATCCAATGCCTCCTCCTCCAGGAAGCCCTTCCTAACTACCATTTCTTAGGAGGCAGGAGTCCTGCCTTTGCCCCACTGGCCTCACCATGAGGTGTCAGGGCAGTAAGAACCATAATCTTCACAATCACGTCAAAAGCTCACATTTATTGATCAATTGCTCTGTGTCAGGAGCTTTACCTGAATCTTCCACTTAATCCTCACAGTAACTCCACGAAATAGGTTCTATGTTATCCCCATTTTACAGATGACGAACTGAGACTTGTTATAGAAAGGAAGTAGCTTGCCTAAAGTCACACGGCTTCTAGATGCCAGAGCCAGGATTCCAAACTGGATCGATCTGACTCCAAAGTCTTGACAGTTACTCTAATGATTTCCATACCGTAAATCCTGTCCTATAAACAGATGTGAAATCAATTTGCTACTGCCAATGTTTAAAAAAAAAAAAATGAAATTAGAATGGACTAGAACAAAAAATATCCAAGGTTCCCACACACAGAAAGAAGAAGTCCTGTTTTATAAATCTTTGTTTCACATAGAAGCGGAGATGAAAAGATCTTTCTTGCTTTAAGTCAGGACCAGCAAAGTCTTCATTCTATGCAGCAAGGAGCTGTTGGGAAAAGGTCACTGTCTAGACTTCATTCCCTGTAGAAGGAGACTTGGTCATGGCATTAGCCATTAGGCATTTGCTGAAAAAGGACCTTGGAAGTAAAGCTCACTGGACAGCTCCTTCAGCGTATCGCCATGAGCAAAGACAGGAGGTCAAAACACTTCTGTAAGAGTCTCTTCTGAGATGGTGTCTTCTAGGGTTCCCGGGACCCTGGGGTAGGGGACAGGGCCCCTTCCTCTCTGTGTTACCAAGGGCGCTGGTGGAGGCCTGAGCATAATGAATGTTCAGTATTTATTGAGACTTTCTTGAGCACAAGATGCATGTGAAGCCCAGACATGCTCTTTGACTTTCATCCACAAACCCCAAGGGAAAAGATATGTGGCCCCAGAAGCTTTATCGAAGGGGAGCAGGAACACAGAGACATTAATTGACCATGGAGCAGGAAGCGGCCAGGAAAGTGTTCTTGCCCAGGCTTTATTCAGCCTGGGTCTGAGCTATCCCGAACCCTCAAGGCCGATAAGAGCTGAAGAAAGGTTCAGAGGGAAGAGGACAGGAGTGGTCTGAAACAGGGCACATGACAATAGTTGAAGGAAGTGAAACTAGAAGAGGCAAAGACGGAAAGGTAGTCCAGCTGGGATCCGCCTGCGAAGGGTTTGCACAGTGAACAATGAGTGACCTTTAGGCAGTCCAGGCAGCAATCTCAATGAAGAGTCAGCATCCCTGCGCCCCTCCCCACCCCACTGCCAGATCTACCCTTCCTAGATGCCAGGCTGGGCAGCTGGGTCTGCAAGGGAGAGCCTTTATTTCCCCCAAGAAAGCAGAGCCCAACCTGAGTTTCAGAAAATTGCAAGAGGGTGGCCAATAGGGATATTTCTTCATTTCTTTGATGTCCCGTTGGAAGGGTCTTTTTGCTATTTGATTTTGTTTTAGTCCATAAATTCATCGTCAGAGTTTGCCCGGTCACTGGGCGCCTGGGTGGCTCAGTCGGTTGAGTGTCTGACCCTTGGTTTTGGCTCAGGTCATGATCTCACAGTTCATGAGCTCGAGCCCATCGGGCTCTGCTCTGACATCGCAGAGACTGTTTGGGATTCTCTCTCTCCCTCTCTTTCTGCCCACCCCACCCCCCGGCTTGTTCTCTCTCTCAAAAATAAATAAACTAAAAAGCATTTTACAAAAAGTTTGCCCAGTCACTTTGACAGTTGAGTTTGGATCACCTTTCCAAGACACCAAATCTTTAACTTGTGTTACACATGTGCTAGGAGGTCTCAAAATCCAGTCTCCCAACCACCACTGGCTGCCAGAAGGTAAAGTGAGTGTCCCTAAAGAGTGGGGACTCTGGGGACAGGGGACTTAGAAACCGGCCCTCAGCAGCCCTTTGCCAACTGTCCCTCCTACCACCACCACCTTGCAGGTCTTGCCCCCTGCCTAGTCTCTCCTCTTTGGTGGGATTCACAGTGCTCACCCTGCTCCTGTACAAGCCAGGGGATGCTGCCATTTAGGTTGGTGTGTACTTTTTCCCTAAGTCCTCGTCACTGCCTGTCCCTTTGAGCTGCTACGATTTTGAAAGGAAGCTGCACTCTCTCCAGTCTCCTGCTTCTTTGTTACAGTGGCTGCTCTACAGCCTGCCTCTGCGCGGAGGACTTGTCTCACTCAGTCACTTACAGAACTCCTACACTGTCCACAAGACCCAGCTCAAATGTCACCTCCTCAGTGAGGCCATTCCTGGGCCCCACATGCTACAATGAAATCATGACTCCCTTGTCTATGCTTCCACACTTGATGGCATTTTCCACAAACCTCCATGATCACTTTTAACCATGTTTAATGGCTGTTTGTCTATCTCTTTCTAGGTTGCCTTGAGAGCATGGAACATCCCTAGAGCCCCTGAAGTGCTTTTTGAATGAATGAGTGAATATATGATCCAGGAGCATGACATCAACCACAACACTCCAAAATTAACTGAGAAGTGTTTCAACAAGAACTCCAAGTGATATGTCAACCTTCCCCTGCCCCCCTCCCACCTCTCCCCTCATCAAGTCAGGTGACCAAAAAACAATGCCCTTGTCCACCCTTAAACGCTCTGGGGAAGTGCTTTCACTCATCTGTGATAACATATCAGGCATTCAACATTTGTTAGAGGAAATAGAAGCACCATACCAAAAAAAAAAATTGTTAACCTCCGAAGACACTGCCACTGAATATTCAAAGTCCTTGCCAATCCCTCCTGCAATTCAGTACCCCAGAAGCCAGTTTTTTCTCCTGATAAATGGTTAACCTGCCTGCGGCTGAACAACAGGAACACTGGAAACCACTATATATCCCTTTTTGCACTGGCTGCCAGGAAGCTCAGTCTATTTCAGTGTTAAACCACCACAACCACATCATTGCTTGCACCTGGTGTTATGATCTTCCCTTTTTCACTACATAATTTCTGAACTTTCTTTTCAGCCTTAACTTACTAATTTAGATACATGTAATTGTTTATTTTTCAGGACACCTCAAGTCCTTTGTGAAAATGGAG